AGCTTAAGGCACTACATCACCCTGTGGAGCAATCAGCTTTCTGGAACCTCAGGGTCAGAGGAAACAGCTGTCTCAGTCGAGCCCACAAGGCCGAGATCGACAATGCCATTGGGGTCTAGGAGATGGGACAAGGGCTGGGCGGCTCTCATGCAACAACTCCAACCAGTCTGATGATTGCATGATATTACGGTAGTACAAACCCAAAATTTCAGTAAAAATACACTAAAGTTAAAGTGACACTAAACTCAAGAGTAAAAACTGAAAAATGCATTCAAGTACCTTGACTATTAGCAAAAATAATTGATCAATGGTGTAGCGCTATAAGCCTCACGGTGTGGTTACCAAAAAAACAGTGTTGTGAAATGTTAAATGAATGAATAAATAAATGAATAAAAATTAAAAAATATATTGAATGTGTTGGTCTTCTCTCTAAACAACGTATCAATGTGTGATATATATCTGTGTGGATACTGTATAACAAAGTAAAAAATGTGAATCTCTCTTCAAAGAGAGTGGTATAACATAATAAACTGAGTGGTTAAAACGAATACATAATATAAGTGTGTGTGTTAAAAAACGGGAGTTTCTTCTTTTGACAAGCAGTTTCTTCGGTACCTCAAGCTTGGACGCATACCCTTTGTTTTACATCAGTTTAAAACATGTTTCTCGTGAATGAGATTTAATTGGACATTGCCATTGTTTATGATACACCATTAATTATAATCGGTTTATAATTATATATATTTCTAGATCATTTGTTTTATCATATTAGCAAAAATGTATCTCATTTGTTTAACACTTGTACTTCGGTAAGGTGGCTACTTTTGTTCCCCATGGTCCCTGTGCGTGTTTTAAAGTAGCTACAGCTCCAAGCTCACTCCCGGGATGGACTACAATCTCAAAACAAATGAGCTAACTAAAAGTGATTGTAGTCCATCATGGGAGTGAGTTTGGACTGGTGGCTACTTTGCAACACACATAGGGACCATGGGGAACAAAAGTAACCACCCTCCACAAGGAAGGACAGAGTCAGCACCAATTTAGTGATGATTTGAGGATCTACTGCCGAGTGATACACAAAAAAAAGATACATTTTTGTAAATAGTTAAAGGTACTTGAATGCATGTTTGAGATTAACTTAGTGTCACTTTCATTTTAGTGCACAGAAACACAATATAATACCCAATCTTTTACAAAATATAAAAGTTGAATTTGTGCCGAGGAAATAGACACCCAACATGCCAAGCTTAAAAATTGTGTGCGCCTGTGAAATGGCGAAAAATTGCAGTACCCCAAACTGTCCATAGGCGGCCCTTTAAAAACCTGTACAGGTCATGATTTTCGAGTTAACTGTGAATATCGGCCCTAGAATTATTGTTCTCACTCTGGTGTACGTGACAATACCCAAAATGTGTGGTGCAATTGTTGTTTCCATACCTAGACGCACCCAACGCCTGTTTGCGTTAGTATGTGCATGTACACAGGGACGGGGAGTTTAAAAATAATTTTTGGGGTGTTTTTAAATTTAATTGATTTAACTTTATTTTTTATTTTTACACAACACTATTGCTATCACTTGTGAGCTCCTTATGTGATAGCACTTTAGTAGTGACAGGTCCTCTGGTGACATTAGGAGTCTATTAGACCCCGATTGTCACCTTTGCAGCCCACTGAAGCTGCTGAAGCACACATCCTGCATGATCAGCTTCTTGAATAACAGCTCATTCAGTGGGAATGTAATAAGAAAATGGACATTCACTTGTCTCTCTACCCGTCGACATCCAGAATGCCAGTCTTGGGTCCCCAGGAGGGGCAGTGGGGCCCGGGAAGCAGCAAGGTGGGGAGTGTCGGGTGGGGGAGGACATGTTTACCAGCCCCTGGAAGCGAACAGACAGCTTTACAACTGCCTGTATAAATTCTAGTGTAAAGCTAGTGTTCTATCATAGTGACTGCGTTGGAATGCTCGACCGCGTCATTTCCGGTGATGCGGTCAAGCATTTCAATGCATTCTCAGCTGTTCCAGGGCAGTTCAACTCACCGGGCATTTGTGGGAGAACCGATCTGCATTACCTCATCTGCCTGGAACAGCTGATCGGTCCAGAATTGTGTGGAACAGGGTCCAGTGAAGGGTCTCATGTGGCTGTGCAGAGTCTCAGGAGGTTTTATGGAGGCTGTGCAGGGTCTCAGGAGGCTATGCGGGTTCTATAGTGGACCGTTCAGGATCAAGGGTGGGCTGTGCGGGGTCTTAGGAGATCTTAGAAGGCTGTGCAGGGTGTCAGGAGGCCGTGGGGGGTGTCAGGAGGCCTTGGGGAATGTCAGGAGGCCGTGTCTTATTATCTCCTGTGTGATAGCAATAAAGCTTGTTGGGGGGAAAAAATTACATTGATTAAAAAAAAAAAACATGTAAAAAAAATATCAACCCTGCCATCTGGTTGCCATTTTCAATTGATGGGGAGGGGGGGTTGCCTAAACCCCCGATGAGATGCTGCCTAAGGCAACCACCTCAGGCTACCTCATTTAAAGATGGCCCTGTCTGTACCCCACTTATTTTCAATAAAACGTATTGCCTGAAAATAAAAAAAAGTGCATTAGGATATATTGTCTTACAAAAGATGTTGATAGCAGCGTTCTAAACAGTAGAAAGATCCACTGCAATGTTAGGAAATGGAAACCTGGCAAGCCCTGTGATGTGAAGCATTCAATATACTCCAAGATGTCACTTTGACAGGGCTAGCAAACACACTAATCAAAAGGTACTGAAAGTTCTTATACTTTTATCAAATGTGGCACTTACTGTTATGTTATTGACCAATGTAGGGTCTGGTTCATCGAGCTACAATTGCATTTAAGGTATGCTTGTAAGAAAATGAAAAAGCACTAGTTTTAGAGTTTTAGGTACATGTATATTGACACTGGTCAGGTTCTGCAGCTTGCCAAGTTAACAAAAACAGCCTCTCCACCCATCCTGTTGATGTCATTGCTTATTGTCTAGCAGACCGATATTAGAGCCTAGTTATAACCTAATCTTTTTTCTGAGGCAAAGTCATTGGGCGTGAATAAATTGTAGTGCTTTTACTTTTTCTTTAATAGTGCTCCTGCTTCACACACATACTCTAGTTCCCTGGCAGCCCACTTAAGATGAGGACTGCTGCGCTCTGTGTGAGAGCAACAGTCTATCTCCAGCGGTTTGATACATCCCCTGTGCTGTCATAATAACTGTGCTCCAATCTGAGTATTGCTGTTGGTAGACACAGACCACAGCAGTCCTCAACTTCAACAGGTTGCCAGGGTAGGGGAGTATTAAAATGTCAACGAGTTATGCTCCCTGTCTTTGATTAAGCCAGTGTTTTTAAACCTTTTTTCATTCATGGCACCCTTTTAAAGTATTTAAAGTCATGAGGCACCCCAGACTGAAATATAAATGTAAAAATGTAATTATCAACATAACATAACACAACATAACCCCTATAAAATCCATACCAGACCCTAATCTGAGATAGGGCGTCTGTTATGGATTTTAAGGTGGGACCCCATGCAAAAACAGGGTCCCCCCCATTCACATCAGAATCCTCTCGTCAAATCAGGAGCCCTCCTTCACATCAGAAGCCCCCTTTACATCAGGAGCCCCCTTCTGTTACATCAGAGTCGTCGTTCCCCACACCAGGAGCCCCACTTCAGATCAGAGTACCCCCTTCACACCAGAAGCCCCCCTTTCACATCAGATCCCTTCCTTTACATAAGATGTCCCCTTTCATATGAGAGTCCACCCTTTCATTTCAGGAGCCCTCCATACATCAGAAACCTCCTTAAGGCCAGAGTCCTCTGCCCCCCACGCCCCCCACCCCCCATTAGCACCCTACCATCACATCAGGAGCCACAGCTGCGGAAAAATGGCAGGAGCCAGGAGGTGGAGCAGGTCTGGATGGAAGCAAACTTGCATCCTTTTCTGAATGGATCCCATCCTCCCTGGATTCATGTAATTCCTCTCCATGTTGTTGGCAGAGGCCTCACACATGGAAAGAAAGGGTGAAAGGGCACACTAGGAAGGTCTATCCTTAGGCATTTGTGAATTAACGGTGCAGGCTGTATAGACAGCTGAAGGGGTTGCTGGTTCAGAAATATAGTACCCTGAGGTGTGTTCCTCCTTGCTACTTCCTCATCCGTGGCAGGGGTAAATGGGGATACATGGAAGCTAAATGGGAAATACTCTGCCTTCCTACTATTCATAGCCCTCCTCCTGAAGAAGCGGTTTACACTGTGAAATGTGTAGAGCTACTTTCTCTATCAACAGATCTTGTCAAGCATATCTTAATGACGAACAACATCTACACTCTGTTCAAAGGATATGAAAAGTACATGGCATCCATTCATAGTAATGATATGTGCATGACAAGCAGGAAATTGGAAAGTGGGGACTATAATCTATTTTTATATAATCTCAATAAATCATGCATCATGTTTTTTTAAATGCGATTACATAAAGCTAATCAAGGTATTTTATATGTATATATGTGTAGTTTGAGATCTGTTTTTTTTTAACAAAATTAAGTGACCTTTTAAAACACACATTACTGGAATGCAGTTGTCTGAATGTTGTTGTTTTTTTTGATAGAAAAGAGAAGGATTAAAACTCCCATCAGTTTATTTTTGTGTCCAGTTAGGGAGATTTCCTTACGCTTCTTGTCCCAAAGATGCAACAGGAAGTCACAGGAAATTTGTCCATGGAACAGGTGTTTCCAATGAAGATTTACCCTATTGTTGCGGTGACAACTCTAAAATGTTGGATTTCCCATAATTTTCTGTCTTGGGGACAGTGATCACAAGGACAAACGGAGAGGGGGAATCTCCCCAAAGACAGCATTAAAAGTTGACAAGGGTACTAATCCTTTCCCAATTGATGCAACTAGACTAATGCATAATGTCTGTGGTTATCAATGAGCTATGAAAACTTTTGTATACACTTGTTACACACAACCTATTTCTTCTAATCTTCTATTGGCAGAAAACACGGACAAATCTGAGTGAACAATCAAACTAACTGAAGACAGGAGACATGCCTTTGATAGTGAGTATCAAACCGTTCCCCCTGATATTTCTTGTTTTTCTCTGCTTATGCGTGACACAGAAATATTTGAAATTACAAATCAAATCATTTTCAACGTACTTGTTCCATACTATTTAGTCAACAGTTTTTCTTTAAAAACTGTTGACTAATTTGTTTTTCTTTAAACAGTTTGCATAATATTGCATTTTAAACAGTGTGGTTAATATTACATGCCTCTATGATTGAATGCAATCTAACACACATCAACTTTTTTACAGGGACCTGCGCCAAAGCCAGGAGATTTGATTGAATTTATGCGTGATTTCTATCAGCATTGGGGTGTATATGTTGGAGGTGGATATGTGGTACATTTAACAGGTGAATACATGGATATACAGATCTGGTCTTTTACTTTTTACTATTAATGTTTAAAGAGTATTCTCATACATACATTTTATTAATACAAATTGCTAGTTTTCTAAAACGGACCTTCTCTCCCAAGATGAACTTTAGCTCCCTTTCTCCACCGTCCCCCCGCCCCCAATAAAAAAATGCAATCTACTCCATGTGTTGCCTACTCCTAACCCCTGTACTCCATGTGTTGCTCCATGTGTGTGACTAGGGATGCACCAATACCATTTTTTAAAAGACCGAGTACCGATACTCTTTGTCAAGTTCTTGTCGATACCAATTACCGATACTTTTTTTTTTAGTTTTGTGACAGTTTTTCTAAAAAAAATACAGACTATTGATTTTAGGAGAGTGGTGGAGCGCCAGGGCCTGGCTGCAGCTGCTACGGCTGTGACCCTGGTAGTTCTGCTACTGACTCCAAGCTGTAGAGGGACTACAAATCTCAGCAATACATTATACAGCAATGCAGAATACCACCAGCTACAGGGGACTACAAATCCCAGCACTACATTATAAAGCAATGCAGAATAATGCATTCAGCTATAGAGGACTACAAATCTCAGCAACACATTATACAGCAATGCAGAATGGCTTTGGCTATAGAGGTCTAGAAATCCCAGCAATACATTATAAAGCAATGCAGAATAGCACCGGCTAGAGAGGACTACACATCCCAGCAATACATTATACAGCAATGCAGAATAATAGTATGGAGGGTCTCAGGAGGGGGAGATGTGTGGGCAGTGGAAGCTCTGTAAACAGGCACTGCATGGTTCCCAAGTAAGCTGTGGAGGTCCTCAGCAAGCGCAAGACCTACGGCAGCTGCCTAATTTGAAAAATTAAAGCATCGGTATCAGTTTTTGGCATTTTCACAAGTACTCGTAAAAATGCCCGGTATCGGCACAGATACCGATACTGGTATCGGTGCATACCTACTCCTAACCCCGGCAATGCATTCATTACATACCCCTAACCACCTTATGTTATGTACTCCTGATCCCTGCACTCCATGCTTTACCTACTCCTGACGCTTGCACTTCATGCATTAATTACTACTGACACTCTGTGTGTAGCATACTCCTGATCCCTGCACTCTGTGCCACACACTCCTGACCCCTGCACTCTAGGCTATACACACTCTTGAACCATAGCAGTGTAGGCTCAGGTTTATTTGTTTTTACAATTTGAACGCACCCACAATTTGTGGCAGGGCGCTATGCATGCTGTATTATTTCACACTTACAGTGCCCAGGGCATTTTGTCTTTATAACCTAAATATCTGCCTCTTTTTCAAAAAGTCTGTGACCAGTTGTTTCAGGGCATACTAAAAATGAGGGCATGATTTTGTAGGTGTGTCTACAAACAGTGGGTGTGTTTTGTGGGTATGAGTAAAAGTGGGAGTGGTTAGTAGGGTGTCCCTGGAATTCACTTTGAAAATATGGCAACTAATTTATGAGGTTTAATTTTACATCAAAGTACTGTTTTTTTTCAGATAAACCTTGTTAATGAATTTCAGAAAAATCACTTTATTATGAGTGAATTAAAGATAGGGGACAAGCAAGGAGAGCCACTTCTAAGATTTGGAATATGTTGTTTATGGTTCTTGGTATGCAAATAAGAGACTATTTATAAACATTATAAAATGAAGATAATGTTTATCAAAAACTGTTCTATAGCCATGTGGAATCAGTTTTATTTTTAATTAATAAAAACAAGGTAGGAACGCAACAACAGAAAAGCGGGGGAATGTATACACACACACAAAAGAAAGGTAAATGCCAGCAGATACATCAGCTGTGGGGGACCAACACAAAATCTGCTATATATGCTGGCATTTACCTGTCTTTTGTTAGTGCATACCTTACCGCTCTTTTCTGTCCTCTGGTGTCTCTTAGATAAAGTACAAGGTTGTTGTGCTCCTGTATTGTTTTTTTTCTAATTATCTTAACAGCTCGTTTTCTTCTGTTTGTATTAGGGCTGCGGAAATTAACGATTAATTCCTCGATTAATCGTTATTTTTTTTGATCGATTACAATTCTTTTGATCTGTACTCACCTCTCCGCCGGCTTCCGGGAGTTCCATCGGAGATCCGGTGATTGCGGTTAGCATCAGGGGAGCACAATGATCATCTGACTATGTCCTGGCTAAAACTGTTGGACAGAACTGGCAATCCTGGTTGAGATATCTAATTATTGGAGTTTCTGAGAGGTAATATCAGGGCCATCAATTGCAGTCCTTCTTTATCGGTCCCCATCGGACATTGACATCACCGGACTCCTCCCCCCTTCCCTTCGTTAGCCGACGGAGCCACTTGGGCAGGTGAGTTTGCCCAAGAAACTTTCTGCACGAGCGCCAGCCAAGGCATTATTAATCTCAGGTGCCCCACTCAATATGGCCGCCGCTTGAGTGGGGCAACTCAGAATAATAACGTGCTGGATTAGTGTGATCCTAGTTCATTTTATTACTTCATTGTTGTGGTGTATGTGTATAGGCCAATGTAGTTGGATCTGTATGTGCGTTATAATTAATCGAAATTAATCGATTAATCGATTTAAAAAAATTTTAATTAATCGAACACAAAACTTTTAATCAGTAACAGCCCTAGTTTGTATACAAGCACACCAAAAACATCCATTACCTGTCCACTCTTGGGAACTCTGTTCCAGTGCGCCGAGGGATTTTTTTTACTGCTCTTAGGTTTATTTCTACATACATTGGGTTTGACACACTAAAGGGCAACAAAAAAGTTTATTTGCAAAGTGAAAGTTCACTTGGATTATCGAATAAGGTGAAGCTGTTAATAGTGAATTATCACAATTAACTGGACTTGTTATGTAACGTTGAAGACGTTTTGCATTCTTTCACAGTTGAAAGAATTGACAAATGATGCAGCACTATGTATAGTTTCCGCCAGAGGCTCCAAGGCCACAATAAATAAAATCTGCAAGAGCGAACAACCTTGTCTAGTGCCATGGCAAATAGGGAATAAAGTAGACTCAAAACCATAATATCTAAGTTTTGCTTGAGGGGAGCTGTAAAGAGCTGCTATCCATGACAGAAAGTTTCAGCCAAAGCCAAAATTATGCTGGACAGCAGAGAGGGTATCAAAAGCTATGAAAATATTAAGCAACAACAACAACATTTCCTGGGCCCTTGAATGGACCAGGTGAGTAAATTGAAGAACCTTTCGTATACTATTACCAGGTTGCTTTTTAGGGATAATGCCCACTTAAACCTTGGCAATAAGATTTTTTTAGTATTATTATGCCCATGTTCAATAAGGAGATAGGGCAATAATTCAACCAGCACTGTGGATCCTTATCAGGTTTGGGGACCATAACCACATTAGCTGTTAACTTTCTTGTAGAGAATAACACCCTCCCCCCGCCTAATGTTATTATAAAGACGTGTAATAAGATGTGGAGTAATGAAATATATGGGGGTCATGGGGCGTATCTGCTGCAAGGCAAACAAGGCGTTTGCCTTGGACGGCAGTTTTCAGGGGGGCAGCAAAAATGCCGCCCCCAAAACAGTTGGGCGGCCGGGCAGAGGAGTAGGCGGCGGCAGAGGACTCAAAAGACCGGCGAGGAGGCAGAGGAAACGGTGATGAGGCGGCGGTGGAAGGGGCAGAGGAGTCGGAGCAGCAGGAGGGGGCAAGGTGGAGCAGCAGGATCAGGAAGGGGCGGGGCCATGTCACAGTCGCGCCGTGTCACCAAAGAGCCGTCGGACTGCGGAGGAGGCCAGGTCCTGCAGCATCAGTCCAGCGGTGGAGGAGGCCGGGGACCAAGCAGCAGGTAAGATGATCTGCTGCTAAAGGGACCCTGCAGTGCCCAGCATGGATTCTGCACAGCCCATCTGAGAGTATTGGGTGGGCTATACAGGATCTGTGGTGGGGTCTATGTTGGGCAGAGCCCACCACACATCCTGCACCGGTCTGCAGGGTCTCAGGGGGGGGTGTGCATGATCTGTGGTGGGCTCTGCAGGGTCTCAATGGCTTCAGGATCTGTGGTGGGCTCTATGGCAATGCCCTCTGAGATCCTGTGTTCTATCAAAGATTGTGACTGGGTTGGAATGTATGACCAGTGACGCGGTCACACATTTTAACGTAATCATGCCCCTTTTTTAGGCGGTGGAATATGTGACCGGCAAAAGGAGAAGAATTTCAACGCTTTCTCAGCTGTTCCAGGGCAGATCGGCATCGCCAATGGTATTGCAGGAGAACCGATCTGCCCTGGAACAGCTTATCGGTCCTGAAATGTCACTTCTATCCGACTCTGTGGAATGTGAAATCGCAGTCACAAAGTCGGCTTGTGAGCCACGAATACCAGGGGCGTCACTTGAAGCAGTTTGTGAGCCTGAAGATGCTGGTTGCTGTCGAGTGGCATTTCTTGGCATTCCTTCCCCATCACCCTTTCTCCACACCTCCCTTTCCTCCTCTCACCCTCCTTCCTTTGTTCTCTTATTACCCTTTCACACTACTCTTCAGCTCAAGCTTTGGGCTTCTCTCCCTTTCTTCGGCTTTTCCCAGTACCTGGATCTAACTCTCTTCAAGACACAGTCACTCAACCTTAGTGCCTTTGCTGGGCAGCGTTGAAAACAGTGAAAACAGTGTGATGAATATTCAGGCAGGCAATAGGCTAATGTATTGGTTACCACATACCAGCACATAAGAATATCTGTAAAAAATAAGTCAAGGCACCTGGACTTGCTGTATTTTTCTTGAAGACGTTTCACTGGACATCCAACCAGCTTTCTCAATTCAGAATGACTTGTACAAAAAATTATCTGGGAATAAATATGGTGAATGTCATTCCAATCCACATAGTCTGTCACAACCAGTTGTTGAATGCATTTGCATAATTGGAGTCTAGGAGGTGTTATTAACCTGTCCAGAAAAAGGTGTTAAAACAGCATCCCACCCCCCTCTATTCAAGCTTGGCTTCTCTATTTTTACATACATTTCACACCTCTTTTAAACAAGTCTTTCTCCCTGTCTAGGATGCGTACTTGACTGTCTTAAAAAAAGTGACCTTTTTCCTTTAGATGTAGGTACACTGCCGAATCCTGACCAGAGGGTTTTGCTCTTCTATGCTGTGCCACACGCTGGTGTAGCTGCTGTTTTGTTTCACTGACATACAATTCTACAAGTCATTCTGAATTGAGAAAGCTGGTTGGATGTCCAGTTAAACATCTTCAAGAAAAATACAGCAAGTCCATTTGACTTGTCTTATTTTTTACAGATATACCATGACCTGGATGAATGAGAACCTTCACAGATATAGCACATAAGAAGCTTGCAATTTGTTCCTACTGAGTTTGTATTGATAGAATTATGTGCCGTGGTGTCCCAGATTGTTCCCTTTAGTCCACCTATAGACGTGTCCCCAGATCAGCCTACCATCTTGTTGGGGAGTTAAAAGCAGCATCCTGTTTAAAGCTGTATCTATGTTCTCAATTTACAATCATTCATGTAAAAGCTAAAATCCTGTTTTTTCCCCTTGTACATGACTGGATATTCAAAGTGAATATAGCTTCACCATTGTGACTAGGTTAAAGAAACAATCACTTTCATAAGTGAATATTTTTCACTGCATTAGTAAATCAACCCCATATCTTCAAATGTGTAAATGTAGGAGGCAAGAGTGAATCATTATGGATCACAATTAGTTTTTATTGTGAATATATCACTGGACAGGTTTTTGTGTGTGTGTGTGATTCTAGAAGCTACAAGAATATTCTTTGGTAATATATATTCCTTCATCATTCTAGCTTTTGTTAGTACTATTCTGTTATGCCATATGAGAGATGAAAGTTAATTGTTTCTGCACTGCAGAAGATCTAGCTCTGTCTGCTCTATTCTTTTTACTTAGATCAAGATGGTTGGTCCAGCATATCTTCTGCATTAGGAGAAACAGCTGTGGTGAGGAAGGACCGTTTGGAGACTGTCGCCTATGGATGCAACTATAAAGTGAACAACAAGTATGACAGCAAGCACTCCCCTTTTCCATCAAGAAAAATTGTTAACGCAGCACTGGGAGAAGTAGGGAAGAAGATGAACTATAGCCTTACTAGTAGCAACTGTGAACACTTTGCAACTTTTCTAAGATATGGGATTGAATTCTCTGATCAGGTACTGTATGAATCACTGACAAATAGACATTACCGTTCATAGTGCAGTTATTATGTGTAAAGCCATTAGCAAAGCTGTATTCTATTGGGCTTCCTAGTCCATTTTTATGATGTCTACCATATGAGAACACAATTGTGTAGCTGCACAGTTCCTGACACCTTTTACAAGAGAAGTATGTATATGAGTATTATATTGGTATGAAAACATACCGGAACTGTGGTAAGATAATATAAAAAAACAAGCATGCTGCCCAGCCACCGACTTAGCAACCTTCGGCCAGGTTATCTGTAGCCACATGGGCAGGTCCCTAAGGAAACATGCCTGGAAATCAGTATAATGTAGCAAGCACTATAGTACTATAGTACAATTTAGCAGAACTATAATGTAAAGGGAACTATAATGGTTTGGGTCAATGTTTTTTTTTTTTTGTATATTTGAAACTGGTGTTTAAAATAGGTTTTTACTCTTGGATTTACAATATTTATTTTACAAATAAACATTTAATTTTGGATGTACTGTATTTGTGACATTGATGGGTCATGAATACATCCACTGAAGGGGAATGGAGGAGAGATGAGACACTTGCTTGAATAAAATGAACCTAGTTAGTAAGTGATCTTTTCTTAGCAAAGAAGGTAATAGTAATAATTGAGAAACATGGAGCAGCTCTACCCTCTTGTCTTCAATCCCACTGCTGGAACCTCGGTGCCTGGTAAAGCTTCCGCCAGAGCCTTTGCTCAGCAATACGTTTAAACTGGCACTAGTAAGGGGGTCCGTTCATTCAATATTTTATTTGCAAAAAGGCATAACAGCAGCCAACAAACGAATGCGAGGGTAATAGTAATCTGGTGAACAAAGATTACAGCTCCACCTGCTGGCTCTTGGATATGCCATATTGTACAGTAACCCGAGTAATAAAAAAAGTAAAAATATACAAAAATACTATACAATCCATAAAAGTGCTGATTTTGGCATGGAATTCAGAAAAGCTATCACAATAAATAATAACTTAAGCAATATTCTAAAGTTGACCATGCACAGGGGATCTAATCATGAGCAAACAGATCAGACAGTTGGGTCATTCTCCTTGATCAGACATCAATATCAGCTTTTAGGGTCCGTTCGCACCATAGTGTTGCAGTGATCGTACACTATTGTGCATTTAATGCGCACAATCACACAGCGCACCTAGTGTGTGTTAATATTCATATGGTAAGTGGGCTGGGCTGCCATTCATTTGAAGTGCACCTGCACTACTTTTTTTCAGCACAAAGTACAGTATTGCAGAATTGCCTGTTGCTGCCAGGAGGTGCAACATTTTGTGTCCTCGCTGGGGATATTTATTTTTTCAAAGAGAAAAGGAAGTGACACAATATCCCCTCTATGGGGACACAGACAGCAATAAAAACCTGACAAAGTCCTTCCCACTTTATCCAAAGCAACAAAATAGCTGGAGTTGGGCTTTTATACTTTTGTGGAATCACAATAAGATATAACTGTTTCTCTAATAATATGAAGCATTTAAAAACCCTTCATGTTGCTGTTCTTTCAGGTGGATACCGCAAAGACCTATGCAGCTGGAGGTGCAGCTATCTTTGCTGTTGGAGCTCTTGCAGCAATTGTAGTATCTGCGATGAGAAATAATCGACAGAAGCAATGAGAGCCCCAGAAACCTTAATTCACACAGTCAAAGCCCACCGGAAGACTCTTTGTAAATTCATCAAGTTATATGTAATCTAGTGCAAATAAATTATGGGAAGCTCCAACCTCTTCTGGGCGGGCCTGCTTCCTCAGCCTGGTTATCTGCTATGCAATTTCTTCTCTCTTTCTAGGACAGAGGGTGAAAAGTATTGGGAATACCCAGCCAGCTGTTTCATATTTTAGTAATTGATGCTCCCTCAACCAAAGCTATCCTGATACAACAATAGATAGGGTTATACAGAAGTGGTGTGCACTGGGGTGACAAATGGGCTAAATCAGGCCTTATTAAACTTTCTCCACTCGTGACCCCTTTTTGGCCGAGGAAATTTTTAAGGGACCCCAGCGTCGGACGTTGTCTCTCCCCTCTTTCCCCCCAGCGTTGGCCGGTGTCTCTCTCCTTCCCCCCCTCCCCCCCCAGCGTCGGTCAGTGTCCCTCTCTCTCTCTGTCCTCTCTCCCCCCCTTGCGTCAGTCAGTGTCTCTCTCCTCTTCTCTCCCCCCCTCCCAATGTCGGTCTGTGTCTCTCCTCCTCCTCCCCACCTCCCCCCACCGCCGCCGTGGATCATTACCCACTACTACTACTAACCCCCCTCCCCCTCCTTACCTTTACCTCCAGCAGCTGTGCTCCACTTCTGTTGGGTTAAAGAAAGGTCTGTCAATGGAAAAAAAACAAAAACATTCCTGCATGCACGAGCTCAGGAAGGTACCAAGTGCACAGGGGGGGCCCGCAACCTTAACAACTAAACTACACTGAACATTAAACATTAAACGAAAATAAAAAAATCTTGCTTGGAGCCCAGGCCTCCCTGGCCGCCTGACCCCTCACAAACGTACCGGCTGTACCACCTGATCACTTGTGGGACCCCATATGGGGTCGCGACCCACACTTTAAGAAGCACTGGGCTAAATGACTTATAACATGCACAGTAAGGCTGATATCAGACTAGTCACTAGTGATCCTTCCGCTGGTGATTTATCGAAATCACTATTGGTAGGGTTGATAAGAGGCTGCCTGTTTGTCCCTATGGAATCATTCCGTCTGTAGCTGAGGCAGCAAAATGTCACTAACAATCAAGATTCACCAGAATTCAGGCCAGTGATAGACTGACATCACGTTACATCTAGCTATAAAGGGGGCAAGTCCACAGCATCTGGCTACAGAGGGACAATTCCATAGGGACAGACAGGCATCTCTTTAGCAATCCTGCTGTTGGCTATTTGTCTCCAATAGCAGAATTGCCCCACTGACATCAGCTTAAAAAAAGGGGACTTAACAACAAAGCACGGTAAAATTAATGTTCCGTGGCAGGGGCGTAACAAGAAATCACAGGGCCCCATAGCAAAATCTTGTATGGGGCCCTGTGATTTCTAGATAAGTCCACCTGATATCCCTCAAAAAGCCCACCTGATAGTGACCCTGCAGAGCCCACTATAAACTCTCTATGGTGAGCTCTCCAGGGTCTCAGGTGGGCAGGCAAGCCCTCTGTCTGGCCGATCCTCTGTCTGACTCCTTCTCCTCCACGATCGCTTGCGGGCCCCCGCCTCCTCCGTCAATGGGCCCCACCTCCTTGATCGCCGGGCCCGCCTCCCCATGACCAAGACCTGCCTCCTCCATCGCTGCCGACGACGGGCCCAGCCACCTCCCCTGCAGCTGCTAGTTGTCATCGACTCAGCAGCTGTGAGAAGGTATGCGCCGCTGCACATGTGAAGGCTGCGTGTTTCTCCTCACAGCCGCCAGTGACAGCCAGCAGCCTGAAATGCCGTAGCGACCCAGGCGGCCCGCACGGCATCAGGGGGATGTCCTGGCCGGGCCCCCCTGTGCCCCAGGGATTCATAGCGGCCACCTGGGTCGCTATGGTGATTGTTACGCCACTGTTCTGTGGAGTAGAGATAGAGAAACTTGTGCACTTAGAGAACAGAAATAGATGCCATGAAAAACTTCACAGTTGCAAAGAAGTACCAGACTGTGTCCATGCACATAAAATAATACATACTGAAAATCACACTGAGAAAAAGAGAATTGGTACAAGTGAAGGGCTGCTATACATTGTTCATACATAATAAGAGCACATACCAAGAATGTCACCCAGCAAGAACATATTCCACAACCATCACCCTATTATGCCCCTCTGTCCTTCACATTATTTTTATTGATGATGTTAACTAATATAAGGGATAAGCTGGTCTGCCAATGTGTTTCACAGTCAGTAGATTGCTTCTTCAGGGAGATGGGGACATTGTTAATGGGTTTTATCTACTAATGGTTCCCAAGCAGGGTATCCCAATGTTCCTAAGGAAACACTATGCAGGGCACACACCTCACATTACTAGCCATGTATCTGGATGCCTTAAATTCTTTTTATACTCCCAACCATCATTCTTATTCATGATATAGAGGCATCTTTTGCTTTTAAATGGCCTAGTGATACCTTTTAGCTTTGTGGGCACTTCTACATTTCTCATCTCTTCTTAGTATCCCAAGTCAGCATATTCATTTGTTTTATCGCTGGTTTGAGCTTACCTTCCAACCTCCTATACTTGCGTTTCCTATTTTTCCATTAAAGTGATTCCACTCTTTCATTTATGGCCATAATGGTAATAAGGCAGAATAACCTTGCCATGAAGGGTTGCTCAAACTTAGCCCCTTTTCTAATGCTGGCCCTACATATGTGAGCTGCAACCTTCGGGGGAGGGGGGAAAGAACAATTCCCCACCTGGTTTCCAAGTGACTGCCTTATCCCGCCTATCCTCAAATATGTGCAGCATCAATATGTACATATTAAGAACGAATACTGAAAACTAAACCTAACACATACAAGAGGAATGATACAGTGCAGTACATACACTATATTGCCAAAAGTATGGGGACACCCCTCCAAACCATTGGATTCAGGTGTTCCATGAAATTTCCTTGCTACTAAATATTCCGCGGTCACCGGTTGGTATTATAACAAAGTGGAAGCAACTGGAAACAACAGAAACTCAGCCAGGAAGTGGTAGGCCACCTTAAAATGACAGAGCGAGGTCAGCGCATGCTGAAGCGCACAATGCGTAGAAGTCGCCAACTGTCTGCAGAGTCAATAGCTACGGACCTCCAACTTCATGCGGCCTTCAGATTGGCACAACAACAGTGCCTAGAGAGCTTCATGTAATGGGTTCCCATGGCCAAGCAGCTGCATCCAAGGCTTACATCACCAAGTGCAATGCAATCCAAAGTGGGGACTTACCAGGGCCCTGAGGGGGGTCTCACCAGGGTAGCAGGGCTCTGTGGGGTCTCACCAGGGCTCTGTGGGGTCTAACCAGCCTTGTTAGACCCCACAGACAGCTGGTGAGACCCCACAGAGCCCTGGTTAAACCACAGGGCTCCACAGGGCTCTCACCACTGCTGTAGTCTGTGAAGGCTGCCTCTCACCAGGACTGTGCAGGGAGCGTCTTGCGGGCGGGAGAGTGCAGGACCAGCCATTGCTGACTACATCTCCGTCCATCTGCCACTGACGATCCGCCCTCCCAGCCAGATTGGGATCCTCGCGTGGTGGATGGGAGAGGTGAGGTCTCTTCCCATTGGCTGGTGGGCGGAGCTCCAGAAGACCACCGGCCGAATGGACGGACCGAGGAAACGGATGAGCTCTCAGCCCTGTCGCTATCAAACTGAGAGTCTCAGTTTGACAGCGACAGGGCTGAGGGCTCATAATGTTACCTGGCTGCGAGGTGATGTGCCGGCAGGGCAAATTAGGAAGCCGCAAGGCCCTCGGGAGCGCGAGGCCTAAGGCGACGCCTAATTTGCCTAATTAAAAGAGCCGCCTCTGCCCACATGCAGCACTGTTGAGAATGCACAACACTGGTGAGAATGCACAGCCCTGAGGAGACGCTGCACACAGCTCTGGTGAGAATGCACAACACTGGTGAGAATGCACAGTCCTAGTGAGACTCTGCACACAGCCCTGGTAAGAATGCACAGTCCTGGGAAGATGCTGCACACAGCCCTTGTAAAACTGCATGCAGCTCTGGTGAGAATGCACAGCCTGGTGAGACTGCACATCCCTAGGGAGAATGCACACAGTCCTGGGGAGAATGCACAGTTCTGGGGAGATGCTGCACACAGCCCTGGTGAGACTGGACAGCCCTAGAGAGACTGGATGCAGCCCTGGTACGAATGCACAGCCCTGGGGAGACACTGCACACAGCCCTGGTGGGAATGCACAGCCCTGGGGAGACACTGAACACAGCCCTGGTGGGAATGCACAGCCCTGGGCAGACACTGCACACAGCCCTGGTGGGAATGCACAGCCCTTGGGAGATGCCGCACATAGCCCTAGTGAGAATGCATTGCCCTGGTGAGAATGCACAGCCCTAGGGAGACACTGCGCACAGCCCTGGTGAGAATGCACAGCCCTGGGGAGACACTGCACACAGCCCTGGTGGGAATGCACAGCCCTAGTGAGAATGCACAGCCCTGGGGAGATGCCGAACATATCCCTAGTGAGAATGCACAGCCCTAGGGAGATGCCGCACACAGCCCTAGTGAGAATGCATTGCCCTGGTGAGAATGCACAGCCCTGGGGAGACACTGCGCACAGCCCTGGGGAGAATGCACATGGTTCAGCTCAGCTGAGCCGCAGTGACAGCCGAAGCAGGGAGAAGGTCAGCCGAAGCGTCTGGTTTTAAAAAAAAATCGTTTTTATTATTTTAATGTTTTTATTTAGTCAAGCCGTTGTAGTCATGGACAACGCTGGATGTCGTGATTGACCCTAGGATTTACGTGATTTACGTCGGTGGATCCATTTTTGGGTTTTGTTTTTTAACAATAAAGGACTTGTGAAAAGCCTTTGTTGCGTTTTTTTATTCAAATAAAGGATTTTTTCTAAAAGTCTGGCCATTTAAAAAAAAAAATGTAATTTAACTCTTTAGTGAATGAGTAGGGGTTACTGAATGAGTAGGGCCGCATCTGGGTGCCCCTTCTT